AGAAGGAAGGCTGAGCAATCCACTTCTGTAGTGATACCACCTTGGAAACCCAAGGAAGGGTCGCTATGAGTTGGGTGTGACTTGACAGCACATAGCAACAACAACAACAAGACTTGAACTCAGGTGATTTATTCAGGAATGTTTTCACCTAAGCACCACGTGTACCATCTCTTAATATGGTATGTATACATGTGTATACTGTTAATTCTCCTGTGGCTACAAGAAAACTAGCAGATAAATTAAGCTAAGAAAATTTGAGAGTCAAAGATAATAGGAATAATGTGGTTCAGAGTTGGAGCAAGGTGGGACTGATGTTGGAGTGATGAGTAGTTGTGTGTCAACTTGACTGGGCCATGATTCTCAGTGGGTTAGCAGTTATGTTGTAGTCATCTCCCACAATGAGACCTGATATGATGTAATTACCTCCATGAGGAGATCTCCTAGGAGCAGCCAATCCACTGAAAGGGAGTTTCCTCAGGAGTGTGGCCTGCTTCCAATGTATATGGACGTCCAGGCAAAGCTCTCTGGCTTTTTGTTCCATCTGGTTCCTGCATCTCACTCATCATCATCTGACCTTCAGTTCTTGGGCTTGAACCAGTGGCCTGCCATATTGCCTGCCAATCTTGTGATAATTGCTTTTGCAGCCTGTGAGCCTTAAATCTTACTTGCCCATCTTTGGTTCAACAGCCCCTGCAGCTATGTGAGTCAGGAGAATCCTCTGGCCTGATGTCTGACCCACAGACTCAGGACTTGACAGGCTCTGCAAATGTGGGAGCTATTTCCTTGAAATAAATTTCTCTCTGTCTATATATAAGCTTTACTGGTTTTGCTTCTCTAAAGAACCAGACCAAACCAAAAACCAAACTTACTGCCATCAAGTTAATTCTAACTCATAAACCTTATCAGACAGAGTAGAACTCTCCATAGGGTTTCCAAGGCTGTAAATCTTTATAAAAGCAGACTGTCTCATCTTTCTCAGCCATGGAGTGGCTGATGGGTTCAAGCCACCAACTTTTTGGTTAGCAGCCAAATGCCTTAATCACTAGACCACCAGAGCTCCTTTCAGCATAGAATGCTAGTCTATAATTTATCTAATTAGTTGTAATAATGATGGATAGACTAAAAATTTTAAGTTTACCACTCGACTCTCACAAACAGCAACAAGTCTGTCCTTTGGCATTTTAATTATTTCCAATTATGATATTATGGCAAGGGACATATTATGGAGACAGCCTCATTTAAACTGGCCTCCAATTTCGTTTTCTGTGATTCCAGAGGATCATGAACTGGAGATTTAGAAGGGGGATCTTGGGGATTATTTTGTTTTGCTCTCCTTTACATTGCACACCTTTATGTTTTAGGTGTGGAAATGTGGGCCCGGGGAAATTAAGTGACTTGCCCAAGATGAGACAGAAAGTCGGCAGTAGAGCCTGGACTCCAGGCCCATCTCCAGGTCCCCAGCCTCCTCATTAGGCCACTGTGGCTTTGCTGAACTCTCAGGATCTTACACTGGGATGCAGTTAGAATAAATCTGGGCACGAATCCCCAAGGAAGAGATTTACTTTACAGACACAATGAACTTACCCTTTTCACTATTACTCCCTCACTATTTACCAACCCTTGTCTTGGTCCTCAGCTTGCTTTTGTAACTAATGCAAATCCACGTAACCCCCTTGTAAGGGTAAAGCTCCCTTGGCAGTGGATTTGCAGGGCAGTTTGGGAAACAATAATATTCCTAGCCATTGGTGTGTGGAAGAGGCTCTTACTGGCTTGTGATAGCCAATGGTTAGCATCTCTTCCTAGCTCCAGTTCAATGACATCACATGAGTAGCTTCAAATCATCCAAACCAAACCCTCTGCCTTTGTGTCAGTTCCAACTCACAGTGACTCTGTTGGACAGAGTAGAAATGCCCATAGGGTTTCTAGGGCTGTAATCTACAGAAGCAGACGGCCACATCTTTCTTCTGAGGAGTGGCTGGTGGGTTCAAACCTCTGACCTTTTGGTTAGCAGCCAACTGCTTAAACACTGCACCACCAGGTTTCTTCAAATTGGCCATAGTGGGAGTATTTTCACCACAGAGATGGACAAATAGGGCTCCCTATCTGCCTAGTCCAAGGTTACTACTGGCTTGGAAATATGTACCAGTAGAACATTGCTCATTAAAAAATAAGAAATCAGAAGGTGTTTATTTATATTATTATTAAAACAAAAACATAATCTATTGGGTAAAAAATGTTATGTTTTTGCCAAAGGATGGAACACTTACAGCAGTGCTTCAGAATGTGTAAATAGAAGAGGGAAGCTTGGATTTCTGCCAAAGAGATGGGCTGCTCTGAGTTGCTACGAGCAAAGCTATATTAAGATAATTCCTCTTTACTTGTTTTCTAATTAAACTAATTGAATTCAGAGTGTCTGAGGGACACACAAGAGACATTTATCTTGAGGGGATGATGGTTTGAAGCCCATCAATCCTATTAGGGCTAAGAAGGTAATCCGAGGATGCCCATTGTATAGCATCCTTGACCGCGCTCCCTGTGGGTTTGGAAAGGACAGTCATCAGGGACCAACTCCTTCACGAGTACTTACTGAGCACCCATCAGCACACAGCAAGGCGTCAAGCTTCTAGAACCTCCTGGTTTTCTTCCTGCCTCACTGGCTGTCCCTTCACAACATCCTTTCTTGATTCCTCCTTTTGTCCTTGACCTTGGAAAGCTGGAATGCCCAGGGCTCAGCCTCTACTCACTCTTTGGTGATCTCTTTGACTCCACTCCAGACCTCTCTTCTGAACACCCGAGTCATGCGGTCAACTGCCTATTAGACACCTCCACTTGGATGTATGGTGGGTGCCTTCAATATACTTATCCCAAACAGAACTACTGAATAGGATTTTCCCCCTGAACCTGTCCACTACAGTCTTTCCCATATCTGTTGTTGTTGTTGTTATGTGCCATCAAGTTGGACCCGACTCATAGCGACCCCTCCTTGGGTTGCTGAGGCAGTATCACCACGGAAGTAGATTGCCCATCTTCCTTCCAAGAAGTGGCTGGTAGGTTTGAACCGCCAGCCTTCTAGTTAGCAGTCAAGTGCCTTAGTCACTATGCTACCAGAGCTATTTCATTCTTTGTGTTTCTCAGGCCAGAACCCATACATTTCTCTCATCCAGTTTGTCAGAAAATCTTGTTGACTCTAGCTTTAAAAAAGGAGCCATGGTGGCACAGTGGTTAAGTTCTCAGCTGCTATCTGAAAAGTTGTTGGTACAAACATACCAGCCACTCCATGGGAAAAAGATGTGGCAGTCTGCTTCTGTAAAGATTATAGCCTTGGAAATCCTATGGGACAGTTCTACTCTGTTCTATTAGGGTTGCTGTGAGTCAGAATTGACTCTATGATGATGAATTCCAGCTTCAAAATATAAACCAAATCTGATGACTTTTCACCATCTCCACTGCTAACAATCTGGCCCAAGCAACTATCACATCTCTCTGGAATTACTGCGATCCACGACCACCGGATGCTCTCTACTCAATTCTGACTCAAGGTGACTCCATATGTTCGACTTAGTCTTCCCACTTCAACCATTGTTCCCCTTTGTTCTCTTCTCAACACAGAAGCTAGAGTGACCCTTTGAAACATAGGTCAGATTGTGCTGATCATCACGAATAATCCTTGTTCAGACCCTGCAGTGGCTCCCCATTTCCCTAACATCCATAGAGAGGTCTACAAGGCCCTACATAATCTGGTTAATGCTCAGTGGCATAGTGCCTAAGGCATTTGACTGCTAACCAGAGGCTGGCAGTTCAAACCCACCAGCCACTCCTGGGAAGGAAAGTTGGGCAATCTACTTCTGTAGTGATATTGCCTTGGAAACCTAAGAGGGGGTCACTATGAGTCGGGGCCGACTCAACGGCACATAACAACAACAACAATATATGAAAGAAGAGAATAAATGATAGAGTCCCAGTGAAACAAGTCCAATATTTTTCATTCTTAACTTCAGTGTGGAGGTTGCCTGAATTTCTAGGTTTTGGCAAACTACTCCCACCTACTCTCCAAAATGTCTTCACTCAAATGTCAGAAGCTTTACATGCATTTACTGCAGGGTGTGTACATTGTGTCAATTGTGTGTAAGTTAATGATCTTTAAGGAATTACAACTTGGTTGACAAACTCCTGCCCCCCTAAAGTCAAGTCACAAGGTTCATGGCTGCTTTGCCTTCATCCTACATTGGTGGGCAAGCCACGTCCCCTGTCCCTCTTTTCCTGTTCCTCACAGTCATTATTGACATCATGGTCAGCTACAAACATTATTGAACACTCAGTATATGCCAGGCACAGTGTTTTAATTTTACGTGTGTTGTCTCATTTCATTCTTCCAGCCCCCTATGAAGTCAATTGTATTACAATCCTTTCTTTCTCACACCCCCTGCTTTTAATCCACCGATAAGTCTGTTTGATTACTTCTGAACTATTTCTGATAGCTTGCCACTCCTTTCCATCTCTACCACCATGCAGACCCCCATCTAATCTTGTTCAATGAGTTGCACCCATCTTGGTCTTTGTTCTCTTCTTTAGATCCTACATGCTCCATCTTGCCTCAGGACTTTTGATCTTACTATTCTCTCTGCCTGAAATGCCTTCCCCCAAATGCTCACACGATCCTTCTTGTCATTTTATTTTTCTTCATAGAACCTGCCCTTCTCCATAATCATCTTATGTATTAGTTGTTTTGGGAGCTCTACTGGCACTGTGGTTAAAGGCCTGGGCTGCTAACCGAAACATTGGTGGTTTGAGCCCACCATCTGCATGGCAAGAAAAAGATGAGACAGTCTACTACCGTAAAGATTACAGCCTTGGAAACCCTAAGGGGCAGTTCTACCCAGCCCTAAAGCGTCGGTATGAGTCAGAATCAACTCCATGGCAGTGGGTTTTGGTTTTGGGTATTAGTTATTTTCTTGTTTATTACCTGTCTCCCCTCATTGAAGCTGCTTCACAATAGGTACCTTGTTAGATTCCAGTAGCCCCATGTTGGTAACCGGTGGAACATTCTGGGTTAGAATTGTGCCAGATCTGAAAGTCCATACAAAATCCTATTCTTGACTTGTGGGATCATTGGTCTTCTAAATGTCTATGAAGATAACAAGACATAAATTCTCCCTACAGACTAGCTATGGTTTCATTTATTTTATATTTATTTATTTACTTTTGCTTTGTTCTATTTTAGTTTTTATATTCTTAATTATACTAAGAAACATACAGTTCTTACAGCAATTTACATACATATATATTTTTGGTGGGTGGTGTATTTATGTGGTGTTCAGGGCTTTGACCTCTTAAGTAAAAGTCCATTTGCCCAACCCAGTGAACACGAGAGCATAGGCCATATTGCCCGTTATCTGGAGGACAGGAGGAGAGGAGAGAATGTGAGCTCAAGGGGCACAGAGACTGACCAACTTCCTTTCAACTGTTTGTTTCAGTCTTTCAGTTTTTCACTTGAGCTACTAATAGGTGGAGAAGTCCATCCACCTCCGCCTGAAACATTTTATTATATAAAACATGTTGAAAAAGTTGTCTTGGAACATTATTTATTCTGTGAGCAGATTCATTGACCAGCGTTTTGTTCTGTTCTGGTAGACTTTGGTTAATAGCTCTAAATATCTTAAAGGCGAATGTTCTAAGTCGTTTGAAAATATCTCTTTGACACACAGCCAGAAACAAACAAACAAAACAACCCTCGAGCAGTTGCCATTGAGCCGATCGTGACTCATGGCACTCCATGTGCCTCACAGTAGAGCTGCGATTCAGAGGGCTTCCATGGCTGTCATAGGAAGGAAACAGATCGCCAGGCCTTTGTGCTGCAGGACCACTGGGTGGATTCACACTCACAGCCCTGCGGTTAGTAGCCAAGTGCAAACTGTCTGAGCCGCCCAAGGACCTCCTGTGGCACACAGTGACAGAAGGATTTATCAGAAGGTCGTCTGGAGAGATTTCTAAGTAGTCTCCCTAGTCTCCCCTCCTGGGGCAGGATGGGAGAGGATAAAGAAGGAGAGATGTTAGGGAGAGGGGCAAAAAGGAGAGCAGAGGATGAGAAAGAGGGGGGAAGGAGTGATTTCACTCTATTTGTTCACCCCCATTGTTTTCATTGCTGTCATCATGTTCAGAAAAGATGAGGTAACTCAGAGCTAGCAATAACCTTCCCAGTTCTCTCCAGCTCTAACTCTGCCTTCTCCCAAGTCTGTTCTTCACTGTGTTCCCCAGAATCAGGATCTACCACGCAAAGGTCTGGTTTAGTCTCTGACTCCTTTTCTTATCTCTTACCACGTCCCTGCAACTGCCCCTTGGCTCAGGAGCATCTAAGAG